CAGGGTTGCAGTAGAGATGTTGACCAGGGCTGCTGTCAGGTGCCAGCTTGACTAAGATGGCTGTTGACTGGGGACCTCAGTTCCTCACCACATGGGGTCTCTCCAGAGCCAACCAAACCTCCTCCTGGCATGGGCAGCTGGTCTCCCCCAGAGGGAATAGTCCAAGACAGAATGGAGGCAGAGGAAGCTGCAGTGCCTTGTGGACCTAGTCTCCACTTTCACCGTATTCTTTTTGTCACTAAGCCCGGCCCTGGTTTCTTTTTCTCTTATTGACTTATGAGCATATTATACAGTTGTACTGGGGGTACATTGTGACATTTACAAAAGTGCTTACATATCTTAGATTCACCCCTCCATCATTCTCCTTTATCCCCTCCCCCTTCTTAGAATAGTTTCAACAGGTCTCATTTTTCCATTTGCCTACACGAGTACCTAATATTCCACCATATTCACTTCCCACACCCTTTCCTCATATCCTCGCCCCTCCACTGGTACCAGTCCCCCAGACAGGACCTGTTTACCTTCCTCTTCTCCATTTTGTTTGTTTAAGATAGCCGTACAGAGAGTTTCACTGTGACATTTCCATGTATGTGTGCATGCTAACCCACATTGGCTCATTCCTCCCTTTTCCTCCTTTCTGCCTTAGGCTCCTTCGTATGGAGATTTTGGGTTTCTTAGGATGAACAGGTTTGAATGTTCTGTACTCATTCTTGTACAGAAAGTACATCAGCCATATTTACCTCAACTTCCTCCTTTTCCCCTCCCCCTCCCGTTAGTGCCTTCCCTAAGTGTGACCTGTTTCTCACTCTTGTCCTTCGTTCTTTAGGTGTCTGCTCATTGTTCAGTGGCATTTTTGCACTGGCATTTTACCTATAAATGTATTACCCCAGCCCTCACCTAAGGAGAGGAGAACTCGGCTCCACATATTAAAAAGCCATCGTGTCCTTTTTAGATACTCGCTTTTATGAAAAATTAATTTTCCTAACTGTTTAGAAGGAGGCGTGGCTTAGGATGTGTTTCTGACCCCACAGACATCCCTTACTGTGTTTATCTCCTGCTCAGAAATATGGCGGCCTGCTCTCAGAGGACCTGGATCTCTGTTCCTCTCCTGCAGTCCTTCTTTTGCTGTTTCTCTTCAGTGTTGCTACTGCAGTGGGTGAAACTCCTGGTTTCTACTGCTATTCTCAAATCGGCTGTCATCTTTTCCAGGGCTCATTGGGGTTGGCCTTTTTTCAAATCCCTAAGATCCCCCAGGCCCCCTACATGGATACCATATAGGTTTTATAGCTGTCAGTGGGGGGCTTGTATTTTGGGGTTCCTACACAGTAGTGCATATATTTTTACATTTGTTGTCCTTTGGTTCTGTCGCTTTTTATGAAGAAAGTTCCAGAGAGATTTCAGAAATAATCCTTACACTACTGCATGTCCTCAGCCTTCTTGTCTTAAGTAGAAATACTTATGAAAGAAACCATTTCCTTTCTTCTTGTGGCTACCCCAGTGCTAGTGTGTTGATAGATGGTTGGTCCTGCCTGGCCTCAGAGGCAGGGCTGTGAGAGGGCATGGTGGGGAGTATGGTGAACTGACAGCACACACTCCTTCTAAGGCGGCCCAGGCTCTCCAGCCTGGAACACAAGCCTGCGTGGCCAGGTCCTCAAAAGAAGCCTGACATTTGTGGGTTTGATGTGGAATATTCTTATTTTTAAATGTTGGCAGTGAATTTGAACACAGAACACATACTGAGCGGGCCGTGGTTGAGATTCTGTGTAGCAGTTGGTTTTGTCTCCAGGCTTCTCCCACACCTGTGTGACCTTGAGTCATGAACTCTGACCCTCATCTGTTCTGATTGGTTTGCGCATCTTTTTCTGTGATTGCGCTTGAGCCCTGAAAGCTCAGAGTCGTTTCTCATCCCTTCTCTGACTATCAAGATCCTAGGACACTCTTGTCCCATGGTGTGTTAGTGAACATTACAATACTGTAACAAAATACCCGATTCAAGCAACTTAAAAAGAGGATAGGTTTATTTGGACTTGAGTTTTGGAGGTTTTAGTCCATGGTCATTGGGCCCTGCTGTTTTGGGCCTGTGGCAGGGTAGCACATCATGGCGGGAGCTCGTGGTGGAGGAAGCTGTCTACCTTGTGGTGGCCAGGAAGTGAAAGAGAGGAAGGGTCCAGCCTCCTACCGTCCCCTTCAGTGGCCCACCCACAATGACCTAAAACCTCCCAGTGGGCCTCTTAAAGGTTCCACCGTCTTCCAATGACACCAAGCTGGGGACCATGCCTTTAACCCACGGGCCTTTGAGGAATGCTTAAGCCCCAACTAGAGCAGCAAGAGTCGGTAAAGACTCAGTTAGTCCACTTGCTAGGGTAAGTGCCCAGGAGTGGGAGGCTGAATCGTGGCCCCCAAAGGTATCATCGTCCTAAACTCTGAAGCTGTCAGTACGTGACTTCCCATGACAAAAGGGGGCTTTGCAGATGTGAGGAAGAATTTTGAGATGAGGACGTAATCCTAGGGATCCAGTGGCCCAAGGTCACCATAAGGGAGTTGGGGAGAGGTGCCAATGGAGTCAGGAGGCTGGAGTGATAAGTGGAGGGAGCCAGAAGCCAAGGAATGAATGCATTTTGCTTCTGGACACTGAGAAAGCCAGAAACAGATCCTCCCCCGAGCATGCAGTGGGCACAGGGCCCTGAGACCTGGATTGTATTCCAGTGAGACTTGCTTCAGATTTTTGATCTCCAAAACTGCTGGGGATTGAATTTGTGTTGTTTTAAGCCACTAAATCTGTGGCCATTTGTAACAGTAGCCAGAGGAGACCAGTGTGCCCTGGATGTCAAGATTTCCCTTGAGGTGTGTGTGTGTTTGGCGGGGGGGGGGGGGGGGGGCTCTTTAACTTTCCCCCTGGCAAAGGAGGTTTTAGGGACAAACACCCAGTTCACTGCAGCTTAAGCAAGGCAAGTAAGGAAGGAGAGATAGGAAGACAGGGAAAGAAGGAAGGAATGAAGGAAAGAAGTGAGTGAGGGAAGGAGGAAAGAGAGAATTTGTTGCAAATAAATTTGTCACTGCAGAGTCTGGGGACATCTGGTGCCCTGTTCACTCCAGGGCTCAGCTGCCAGTGGGTGTGGTCAGCAATGCATTTCTGTCTCAGAAGGTTCCCAGATGGCCTGGGGATGGTCCTGGCAGTCCTGGGTAATTCCAGCAGGAAGTAGAGGCTGTGTCCTGGGTGCTCAGATGTCCTGGCATTGTTCTCAGTGGCTCACCTGAATCACTTGTTATTCTTGATCCAAACATGGCTGTTTGGCCAGGCTTGGGCCACCTGTCCATCCTGCAACCCAGTGGTGTTGGGGTGGGAGACTGGTCTCACCTGGGCCATATGGACTGTGAGCCCAAGAAGGGACATTCCTCACAGGAAGCTGAAATGCTGTTTTCAGAAACAGGGGAATGGGACAGCAGCCAAGGAGAAGCAACAGATACCCATCAGTCACCTGGGGGCTGTAAGACTTGTCACCCTAGCATCCAGAACTGTGTTTCTGATAGATGTTGCCTGGCAGTGCTTTGAAATGCCACAGGCACCTGCGTGTCTAAGGACTTTTAATTCTGTCCCATAATTATCTTTTCTAAATATGTTTAAAACCACACAGATAATCAGATATTTTGGGAAACCATTAAGACAATGCAAAAATTATATGTAAATACGCTCAATGCCCTAAGCCCCAAAGAGTCTCCTCTTCCTAAGTCAGGAGCTGGAAGTTTACCTTTCCACATCTTTCACTTCTTTTTATACTCAGACACACGTGAATTGCCTTTCTTTTGTAAGTAGTGTTCATTTTTACAGAACCAGCCATAAAAACACTCCTTTTGTATTTCTTAGAAATCCTCCCAGAAACAAGGATCCAAACTGTCTCTTTTGAAAAGTATTTGTTAATTCGTGAATACTTGTGCATGAGTCAAATAGCACAGGAGAGCTTAAATAAAATACTTCTCCCCCCCCCCCAGTTGCCCCTCGCCCCTTCTCTAGAGGACCAGGAAGGTTTCCATGGGAAAGGGAAGGGATCTATTTTTATTTATCAGCGTACCTTGGAAACCGTGCTTATCAGTATGCAGCACACTTTGTCATTCTGTCTTACAGATGGGTAGCATTGCTTTGTGTGGCTGTAGCATCAATTATCCGATGAGTTTCCTACTGATGACCACAGGGGGTTTGCAATACTTTGCTGTCACAAACAGAACTGTAAGCAAGACCCTTGGACACAAGGGTTACTTTGCAACAAGATGTGTGGCTCTAGATTGAGTTTCTAGAAGTGGAATTGTGGGGTCAGGGATATGTGCCATTGAAATGTAAGCGTACAGTCAGAAGGCCCTCTACCAAAGTGGCACCATCCCCAGTCCAGCAAAATGTTGGGTCCTGCCTGCTTACCCATCTTTTCCATCAAGGAGGAAAGATGAGTGGTATCTTCATACATTTTTGTGTTACTGTGACAAACTACCAGAGACCGGGTACTTTATAAAGAAAATTTATTTGGCTTTTCATTCTGGTGGCCAGAAGGCTCAAATGACATGGCACTGGGTGTTTGATAACATGATGCAGAAGTGGAGAGGGAACTGGCTTCTTATCAAGAGGACCAAGCATGTGGGGTTACCTAGCTTTTAAACAACCCACTCGCAAGAGAACTAGCTTGCTCCTGCGATAACTACGTTAATCTTTGCCAACAGTGGTGTCCTAATGACCTGATTACCTTCCACTCGGCCCTACCTCTTAAGAATCCACTGCCTCTCAGAACTGTTACATTGGGGACCAAGCTTTCTGGCACTTGAAACTTTGGGGACACATGCAAATCATAGCCACACCACAGCAGGTGGAAAACTGGATCTCTGGGTGGTCTAACCAACGTCTTTAAAATACAGAGTTAGCTGGGGCTTGGGGGAGAGGTAGCAGGGGTTCTCACCTCTGCTTATTGTGGCAGTGTCTCTGAGATGTGTCCTTGTCCTTTTTTGTGTCTCTGCAGAGCAAGCTGGTGAGTTACTTCAGCCGGCAGCTGTCCTACAAAAAGAAGGTGTCCCTACAGGAGCGCAATGCCGAGCTAGACGGCTTCCCCCAGCTCCGGCACTGGTTCCGGATTGTCGACGTGCGCAAGGAAGTCCTGGAGGTGACCAGAGGCTGCCCTGTACCCTTCACCCTATCCTTTCACACCCACCTCTTTGTGGCTGCTTGGGTGACAGGCTTTTGGCCATGCACAGCACAGTCCCTGGCACAGAGTGAGCCTGAAGTAAAAATATACTGGAAGAAGACTGGCAGGATCTTTGATGCATCTGTGCTGGATTCTTAAGGACACGGATCTAGAGTCAGTTAGAACTTCGTTCAGCCACTCAGTGGAGTCACTTTAGCCAAATCACGACCTCTTAGACCAGTCCTGTCCATTGGGACTTTTTGCTACAGTAGAAATATTTTATATTTGTTTGATCTGAGGCAGTAGCCACCAGCCACTGAGCACCCGATTTGTGGTGTGTGTGTGTGAGACTAAGGAGTGAATTTTTAATTATATTTAATGGTAACATGGCCAGTGGCTGCCATATTGGATTGCAGAGTCTTAGGGCAGCAGTCTTCCCATGTGTTAAGTGGGAGTCATGATTGTCCTGCCTTCCTAAGTAGCTGGCGTGATAAAAATGAGGGGATCCTATAAAATGTTCAGCTCATGACACACAGTAAGCATCACCCTTGCTGTTGTTAGTGTTGAATGCTTTGCAAGTAACAGGTTTCTGGTGGCAAAACCAAGCCAGATCACTCAATGTTTTGGGTCCCCAGCTCAAGGTTGGACCCCACCCTTGTGGTCTCAGAAACAGTGAGATTTCCTTGCCCTCTGGTATTGTCCTTTCAAGGATGGGGCTGAGCCGTTCCTAATAAAACCAGCTCCATCATTGACTTTGGTGCCAGACATTGTACTAAGGCTGTACCCGAAGGGTGTCCAGTGTTGAGACTGTTTTCCCTTCAATGACTTTTTGAGCAGGTGTGACTGTTATCCCCATTGTACAGACTGGGAAACTGAGGCTCAGGGATGAATCCATGTGTTCAGCCAAAGAGAAGGCAGGCTAGCTGGAGAATCCAGCTGCTCTGGATGCCAGAGGATTCGTGTAGGAATCTCTGTGCTTTCTTCATTTCTCTGGGCTGAGGTCTCCCTGATCTGGAAAGGTATCCCCTGCCTGTAAAGCCAAGAGCCCTGACTCCAGCAGCTCCCTGCTGGTAGAAGCCTCTGCCTGTTTTGGACCTTGTCCTCAAAGGCAGGAATCTCCCCTGACTCCAGCAGATCTAACGTCCCATGCCACATGTGAGCGCCCCGCATTCTTCCACCCACCGCCCCACTTCACTTACACGTGCACGCCAGGCACCGCACAATCCCATGTGCCCTTATTTCACTCCCAGGATGGCCAGAGAGCCAAAAGTAGGTTTCTTACAAATATCCCTGGGATGAACGGCCCAATATGAATAATAATGTGCATTGTAACTGCATGGACTTCTTACAGGAGCCATTTGTTTATTTATCAAGTGCCATTTGTGGGCCAAATAAAGTAGAAACAAGTCTTTTACACTTGGGCTCTATCTTATGGGTAGACCATTTTTGCTTGGCTGATATGATCCCCCCCTCAAAATATTCAGAGCCAATATTTGAACACTGAGTTTGTCTAAAAAGCTCAGATGTCTAACTGCAAAATCAGAACTTCCTATCACCCTGAACTGGATGGCTGTCTGGAGGTGATGAACTTGACATTTGGCTCCTTTGGGTCCCAGAGGCTCCAAGGTCATGGACTTGCTCCTTTGCGTCTATCTGGCCTGCAGCTACCTGAAGTTGGAATCTTACTTTAGTCTCTAAGCACCTGAGTCCAAGGTCACCATCAGGGGTTGGGGTGATGTGCCTGCAGTTCATAAGTGTGTCCACCAGAGGGCACCCTTCCATGAAGGAATGGACAGCTCCAAAGTGAGATAAGACAGCCTGGGTTCAAACCCCAGCTCCAGCTCCATCACTGTGTGACCTTGGGCAGGTGGTCTAACTTCTCTGAGTTTTAGTGTCCTAGTCTGTCAATGGAGATAATAAGCATCGCCTTTGTGTGAGCTTTGTGACATTAAAGAAGTCCAGGGAAGCACTTGAAACACATCCATCTCAGCTATTGTTATTATTGTATTACAGAATACATATCTGCATCTGCCATCTTGGTCCAGGTTTGGTGAGGCTTTCTGCACGTTCAGGATATAAAACTTGCTTTTATGCTTTTTTCGGAGCCTCAGTTTTGATGGAATTGAGAATGCACACATTTTTTTTTTTTAGATTGTGAGCTGAAGTACACAAAAGAGCCATGTAGCAAGGGGGAGAATCCCTTCATCATGTGACTTACTCCCTCTAAGGGGGACAAACCTTCAGACCCTAGATGGTCACTGTCTTCCCATGACTCAGTCTGCCCCCGCCCTAGCGCAGTGCTTGGAAAGGCACTGAGGGGACCTCACCCTCTGCCCTCCAGCTCGATTTTTCTTTGTTTCTTTCTTTTTTTGGGGGGGTGTGGTGCTGGTAGAATTTAATGTGAGGTCTGTATTTTGCTGTAATATGCAGGCATGGCCACAAGGGGGCAGAAAGATTCCATACTCACCCTACACTCACCATCCCTAGACACTTAAAACCTTATTTAAATGACAATAACATCTGTGTAAAAACGTTGGCTACCATCACTGCTATAAGTGAAGGCTCGCATATGCACCTGTAGATGTACTTACAGATGGGTAAATACAGAAGTTTGACAGATTTCGAGATGTATTTGTCTCATGGTGTATCTATGGAGACAAAGTTTTGGGGAAGGGTGGTGACTGGTGATGGCCAAAGGACACCTGCCCCACGCATTGCTAGCTGGGCTCGTCTCTAGCCTGTCTGCAGCTCATCTGCTCAGAGGTGTCCTTTGCTCTACTCTATGCTGTCCTCCAACTCAACCACATGGCCTTATGACGCAAAGTCCTGCTGCCTTATTCTCTGGTGCTCAAACACAAGCCCAGATTCCTTTCCAACCGTGAGCCACCCATGGACTTTCATCCCTAGGGTTCCTCAAGACCCAATATGAACCCTAGACCTTGTGGGTGCTGCCAAGAGGAAGCCCAGAGGACAGCTGGGAGGGGACCTGAGTTGTGTAGTTGGCTTGTTCTGAGTCCACTCTGGGATTTGGGTTGAGGCTCTGCAGTCAAAGTTAAGCAGGAGGCACTGAGGGCAGTGCACAGAATGAAGTGGAACCCTGTCTCATAAGGAGTTCAGAAGCCAGACGGGGAGACAGATGAAGTGACTACGTGATGTACTGAGCTTGTGTGCAGCATTACCAAGTCCACACACTTAGGATCCCTGTTTTATAGGTGAGAAGAGTGAGGCCCAGAGAGGTTAAGCAACTTGTCTGAAGCTATCCAGCAAAAGAGTGGCAAACCTGAGATTCCCAAACCCAGGTCTGTCCAGCCCCATATTCACAGACTCAACCATTATGCAAAGCATTTGCCCAGTGGTGTGCCCTCCCCTAGGCACTACCACAGGACAGGACAGAGGCCCTGCTCTGTCACATTCCTGCCCATAGGGCAGCTGACATCCTTTTCTGTTCCCTCCCCTAGGAAATCTCCCCTGGCCAGCTGAGCCTGGAGGACCTCCTGGAGATGACAGATGAGCAGGTGTGTGAGACGGTGGAGAAATATGGAGCCAACCAGGAGGAGTGTGCCCGGCTCAATGCCTCTCTCTCCTGTCTCAGGAACGTGCACATGTCAGGTGAGCAGGTGCAGGGGTGTGAGGCCCTGTCCCCAGCTCACAGGCCACCATTCCTCAAGATTCCTGTGCAGACCAGGATGAGACAGAGTCCATTGTGGATAGCAAACAAGGGGAGGGGAGAGAGGGGTGAGGGATGGAGGCCAGAAGACAGGGCAGCCTGCTGGGGGCACAATGATTAGTTTTAGATTAATGGGATCCAGATATGGAAATACTTGGGGTGCCTGGAAAACAGGGATCTTTTTCCCTTGGATATCATGAAGTGCCTTTGTATTTTGGGTCACTGCCTTGCCTCTTATTTTCTCACAAAAATACTATGTGCTCATTGTAGCATAAATCAGAATATGACTGCCACAGGCTCCATTTCCTGGACTTGCTGTTGTCATTTGGTATAATTTTGGTTCCGTTCTTCCTGACAAATAGGTATGTGCATACATTTTTAAAGAAAGAAGCAATAGAATTAGGTTTATCTATATCTGTCTGTCTATCTAAAAAGTTTAAACTTTATTTTAAACTAGATAACATCTGTGACTTGCTTGATAAGTTTAAGGTCCAAACACTGTCTTCTATCTGCTGGACCTTTCCAATTTGTTTCTCAAACACCTGTCTGCTTTTATTAGCATAACATCAACTCTCATTCTCTTCAGCCTTCTTGCTTCCCTGGCTTGTCACATTTTTAACTCCCCCGAAATTTGGGGCTTTTTAGTTCGTAGGTGTCAGCTCTGCAAATACCAGCCAGAAAAATGTTTTTGGCCACCAGCACTGTCATTGCAGTTCCCGCCACAAGGTGGCGCTGTGGACCACCAGCCCGGCAGTGTCTGGTGGCGGCTGATTCAGTTTGATTGATTCCCGTGCAACATTGAATTCGGGTTTACTAAGTGACTATTAACGAGTCAGCAGGGTGGAGGATCCAGCAGTGAACCAAACACAGAATATTGTGAGAAGGGCCCTTGGCTCAGATCCCCACATGTGAGCCCCTCTGTCTTTCTTGCTGGAGGATTCTTTCTGGTCCAGGCTACACTCAGCATCAAGAGGACCACCCACTAAGGCTGCCCTGTGCACTAAAGGATGCTGGCTCAGCCGCACCCATGACCCCTTCCCAGGAGATAAACCAGTAATGTCCCCCACTTCCAGTGACAAACAGCCATGTCTCCAGGTCCTGTCAAGTGTTGTTGGGGAGGCAGAATCACCGAGGTTCAGTAGCCACAGAGGTCCTACTGCTCCTTTCTGGTGGTGCCATGCTGTTGAACCACCGCTGACGTCAGGCTTCGAGGGGCCTCGCCACCAGCACGGGCAGAACCTGATCCAACATCACGTCCTCTCTCCACCTGCAGGGAGATACATCTGGCAGTTCTCTCTCCTTTAAAAAAAAAAATCGCACCAAGTTACAACGTGACATCTTTCTTTAGCTGCCTGGAAACGTATGTCCTCATGTTTAATGCACCACTTATTCAACCTCTTGTTTTGAGGACGTTACGTTGTATCCATATTTTTCTTGTCTTAAACTGTGCTATCTTTGGGTGTCCAGTGCCTGTTCCTAAAAGTGAGTTTAAGTGTTTGGGTGGACATGGCCTTTCTGCGTTTTAGAAGGTTCATACCGATATATGCTTCTCCTCTGGACTCCAGTTCTGCCAAGACTGGTGTTCTTCAGCCCTCCGAGGTGTAATAAGTAACCTAGTGACACCGTGAGCTGGATGAGACTTGAGACATCTTCTCACCTGCTGCTTTTTTTTTTATTTTATTTTAATAGAAGTGTTTATTATGGACAGTATTGGTTAATATTAATTAACTAATTGATTAGCATTAGCTAATATTAATGACACATTTTCCAAATATCAAGAACTCTTTTTTTTTAAATGGCTGCATGCAACACTGGCTTAAGCTATCTCTCTCAGTGGATAATTTGTTAATTTCTTCTTTTCTTTCTTTTTTTTTTTTCATTTTTCTTTTATTATTCATATGTGCATACAAGGCTTGGTTCATTTCTCCCCCCTGCCCCCACCCCCTCCCTTACCACCCACTCCACCCCCTTCCACTCCCCCCCCTCAATACCCAGCAGAAACTATTTTCCCCTTATCTCTAATTTTGTGGTAGAGAGAGTATAAGCAATAATAGGAAGGAACAAGGGGTTTTGCTGGTTGAGATAAGGATAGCTATACAGGGCATTGACTCACATTGATTTCCTGTGTGTGGGTGTTACCTTCTAGGTTAATTCTTTTTGATCTAACCTTTTCTCTAGTTCCTGGTCCCCTTTTCCTATTGGCCTCAGTTGCTTTAAGGTATCTGCTTTAGTTTCTCTGCGTTAAGGGCAACAAATGCTAGCTAGTTTTTTAGGTGTCTTACCTATCCTCACCCCTCCCTTGTGTGCTCTCGCTTTTATCATGTGCTCATAGTCCAATCCCCTTGTTGTGTTTGTCCTTGATCTAATGTCCACATATGAGGGAGAACATACGATTTTTGGTCTTTTGGGCCAGGCTAACCTCACTCAGAATGATGTTCTCCAATTCCATCCATTTACCAGCGAATGATAACATTTCGTTCTTCTTCATGGCTGCATAAAATTCCATTGTGTATAGATACCACATTTTCTTAATCCATTCGTCAGTGCTGGGGCATCTTGGCTGTTTCCATAACTTGGCTATTCACCTGCTGCTTTGTATACCTTTTTGATCAAGCTGCACAGTGACAAATCTGATTTATATTGCAACGGCCCCTCCCCCTAACACACACACAAACACACGTGCACAGACAGATTTCTAGACACAATGGAGGCGTGTCACAATGGTGACAGTGATGGCACAGTACCCATCCTTACCATGCAGGATGGAGGAGATATTTTAAATTCTTCCCTATTTCATTCGATATCCCTTACCAGTCCTGGCCAGGACCTGGCACTCTCCCGTCACACATCAGTTAGGGTTGTGACCTATGGTTTGAAAAACCTTACTGATCTAATTGAGCTTCTGCCTTCACCTGGGCTACTTCTGGCCCTTCCTGTGCAGGGAAGATCCCGTGTGCTGTGTCCTGCTTCATTCGACAGTCTCCAAGCCACGACTAGGGCACCTGAAATCAACAGCCTTTTATGCTCAGGCTGAGGTGAGCTCACCTCAGACGTCATGGGAAAGAATTGTCCACTTGGCTGGGTTTCCATGCCATCACGTGACCTTTGTTGTTCCCGTTGGTAGCAGTGTCCCCACATTTTAACTTTTACCTTTTTTTGGGGAGTGATTTATTTATTTTTTTTTTTTGGCAGTACTTGACTTTTGAACTCAGATCCCAATTTGCTTTAGTTATTTTTTCAGGCAGAGTCTCATATTTTTGCCTGGGCTGGTCTCAAATTACAATCCTCCTGCCTATGGCTCCTACATAGCTGGAATGACAGGTGTCAACCACCTGTCGTTGTTTGTTGGGATGGGGATCTCACTAACTTTTTGTTCAGACTGGCCTGGAATCTTAATCCTCCCAATCTGTATCTCTCCCGTAGCTGGGATTATAAGCATAAGCCATCACACCTGGCCTGGGGAGTAATTTTTTTTTTTTTATTTTAAATGGATGCTACTCTCTTCCACTAGACTATATTCCACAAACAGGCATGGGTTGGCTGGGTGCTGGTGGCTCACACCTGTCATCCTAGCTGCTCAGGAGGCAGAGATCAGGAGAATTGCAGTTCAAAGCCAGGCCAGGCAAATTTTTCATGAGACCCTATCTTAAAAATATCCATCACAGAAAGGGCTGGTGGAGTGGCTCAAGGTGTAGACCCTGAGTTCAAACCCCAGTACTGCAAACAAAACAAACAAAACAAAACAGGCATGAATTGTACCTGTGACTGCTCACTATTTAATCCCCAGGATGCTATCTAGCACATAGCAGGGGGCTGATAACTAAACAGCTTTGAATGAACACTGGTTCGTGCAAACTCACCCCGGTGGAAGTAAATGTTTACTCCTGTGGACTGCAAAGCACCCTGGAATTTGCTCCTACTGAGGCCCCAATGTTCACATTTCCCCCCTCAAACCCCAAACATCTGATAAACCCACAAATGAGCTAGATAAGGCATGGCTTTCCCGTCTTGGGCCTCACCCCTCTGCCTGGAGTTCCCTTCTGCCTTGTCTTTCCCATCCTTGTGACTCTTGTCTTCATCTTTCTCATCCTAGGCCCAGCCCAAAGGCTTTTCCTCAGCCTGGTCTTCATGAGGCTGTACGTTAACCCTGCAAATGGACCCCACCTCTTGCCCTTGGTCCCCAGAATGTCACAAATGTCCAGTGATCCACAAAGTATATAGGGCCGAGTCCCTCGCCATCTCTCCAATCTCCTCCCCTGCTAGTCTTGCCCTTGATTGTTTTTATCCCAGCCACATTGGCCTCTGGTTGCCCTCAACATGGTAGACCCACTTCTGCCTCCAGGTCACTGCACCTCCCTGAATGAATGGATGGATGGATGGATGGATGGATGCCTGTCACCAGCCACCAGGCCATATGGTGATTGCGTTTCGTTGTCTAGCTCACTCATCTGACTGTGGCCTCCCCGTGGGCAGGTGCGGGATGTCACCTTTTCCTTCTAGTGGTCCAGTTGTATTTATGGAAGGAACTTCAGGAAAGTGGCGCCATGTGCTTTTGACTGATCTCCACCAGGGGGCTGCAGCAAGCACCCATCATCTTTTCACTCTTCCCTCAAAAATTATAATTAGTTCCTTGAAGCTTCTAACCTTCTTGGGAACTGGACAGTCCCATTATTTTGTGTCTTTTCCCAAACTAGGGACTAAATAGTGTCTTTCCCGCCAGGGCCCATGCTCATCTCGCAATCAATCTAACTTGTCAACCCAGAGTGGAAGCTTTGTCGAGCCGCCAGCTCAGAGTTCTAAATTCTGGTGTGAATGGGGACTCAGTGCATGTTTGTTGACTGACTGAAGGCACTTGCCGAGGGACTTAGGTGGATGCAAGGCAGCTTTGTGCAGGTCAAGAATATGTCTCTGTTTTTCTTTCTCTGTCTCTGTCTGTCTGTCT